GTGTGTGTGGTGTGTGTGTGGTGTGTGTATGTATGTGGTGTGTGTGGGGTGTGTGGGGTGTGTGTGTATGTGTTGTGTGTGGGGGTGGTGTGTGTGTGTGGTGTGTGTGTGTGTGTATGTGGTGTGTGTGTGTGGAGTGTGTGTGTGGTGTGTGTGTGTGGTGTGTGTGTGTGTGTATGTGGTGTGTGTGTGTGGAGTGTGTGTGTGGTGTGTGTGTGTGGTGTGTGTGTACGGTGTATGTGCGGTGTATGTGTGATGTGTGTGTGTGGTGTGTATGTGTGTCTGTGGTGGGTGTGTGTGTGTGTGTGTTTGTATGTGTGTGTGTGTATATGCCCAAAATCTCAAGAGGAAAATGGAGGAGCAGGGATTGTGGTGTAATTATAACCTTTCGGGGTGGTTTCTCACTTTCTTACTCTGTCTCTCTGGCAAATTCATGTGTCCTACTGCAAATTTAAAATAAAAGACTGATCAATTTGACACCTAAAAATTAAAAGCAATAAAAATAGCATAAAAGTTAAAAGAGATGCCAAGCTAGGAAAAAGTATTTACAATATACGAAGCAGGACAGGGACCATGTTCTTTGATACATAACTAGCTCTTACAATCAATAAGATAAAATCGAATATCCTGGTGAAAGAAATTTGGAGTACGGTCAGAAATAGGACAATAATTAAAATGACTTTCTAACCTAAGAAAAACATGCTCATCTTCTTTCAAATTCTAGTGATACCAATTTTTTAAAAAGTATATTATTCTTTTTATTTTATAATTTCTTACATTTAATTCTACATCTTTGTGCAGTACGATGATTTTTCAAAGCATGCATAAGTGTGTGATAGTCAAGTCAAATATATTACCATATTCATCATCTTTAACAAAGAATAGTACATTAGCTTGTGCACCTTCAATATTCATTTTACTAGATATAGATAGATTACGGTTGGATAGATTGATGGATGCTTGGCAATGCTCTCATTTTTTACTCTGCTGTGGATTGCCACTCAATAACCCATTTGCCTTGTTGCATGCATTCCTGTGTCTATTAATTTTTTTTTGTCTGAGCCCCTTCTTCCCATCCTCTCCCCATTCCCCTGTGCACTCTAGTATCTATGATGGCCTTCTCTACTTCCATGCCTTTGATTCTTTTGATTTCATAATCTATCTCACAGGCAAAGTGAAAAGGTTTCATATATATGATATTAGTGAGGATATGGAGAAAAGGATATGTTCATACTTTATGTGAGCATCATACTTTATGTTTAAAAAGACAATTTGATAATATCTGTTCATGACTTTAATCATTTCACTTCTGAACATCTGTATACAGAAACATTCTCACATATGTGGAAAGTCCTCTAGACAAGGATACTCGTGGGAGCATTGGTTACAGTGGTCAAGGAAAAATAAATATCCATCAGTGAAGAGCTAGAAAAGATTAGGCTTAAAAATACTTTGTACTGGGACCAGCAGTTAGCGTAATGGCTATGTCACTGGACTCCCACATAGTTGACGCAGTTCGCGTCCCAGACCCGGTGGCTTAAACTCACGCCGGGCGCGTGTTCGCGTGTGCCCAAGATCCCAAGAGGAGAATAGAGGAGAAGGGATTGCGGCGTGGCCATCCCCCCTGGGGGGTGATTTCCAACTTTCTGTTTCTCTGTCTCTTTCTGTCTGGCGAGCACACGTGCCCTATAGCAAAAACCTCTCCGAAAAAAAAGAAAAAAAAAAAAAAATACTTCGCACTGTGCCATCTAGTGGTCGTGTGGTTAAGGCAGATGGATCCCACAAGGCTAACTGCCAGGACCTGGTAGCTTGAAAAATATGTACTGGGTACATGTGAGAGTATGCCCAAAATTCCAAAGGGAAGGAGTATAGAGAGGGGATTGCAGCACGACCACATCCCCATGGGGTATGCCTTCTCACTGCCTTGTTCTCTCTCCCTCTCTCTTTCTTTCTCTGTCTCTTCCTAATAAGCATTTATGCCATCTGGCAAACTAAAAAATATTCTACATCATTAAAAACACCAAGATTAAGGGACCCAGCAGATAGCGTAATGGCTATGTCGCTGGACTTCCACATAGTTGACCACGGTTCACGTCCCGGACCCGGTGGCTTAAAACTCACGCCGGGCGTGTGCGTGCGTGCCCAAGATCCCGAGAGGAGAATGGAGGAGAAGGGATTGCAGCGTGACCATCCCCCCCTGGGGGGTGATTTCTCACTTTCTGTCTCTATGTCTCTCTCTGTCTGGCGAGCACACACGCCCTAGAGCGAAAAAAAACCTCTCAAAAAAACCCCAAAAAACCACCAAGATTAATCTACAGATCATTGAAACAGGACAATTCATTATATATGCCCACACTGGACAAAATTATATGTAATAAAGGTACTGCATATATATATATATATGTACATATACTTTCAAGTGTGTATACATACATATCACACACACACACACAGCCATTTTTATTCTTTCATAAGGATAGACTATACCTTTTTTTTTTTTTTGGAGAGATTTTCACTGTAGGGCGTGTGCGCTCGCCAGACAGACAAAGAGAGACATAGAGACAGAAAGCGAGAAATCACCCCCCAGGGGGGATGGTCACGCCGCAATCCCTCCTCCTCCATTCTCCTCTCGGGATCCTGGGCACGCACACGCGCCCGGCATGAGTTTCAAGCCACCGGGTCCGGGACACGAACCGCAGTCGACTACGTGGGAGTCCAGCGACATAGCCATTATGCTAACTGCTGGTTCCCAGGATAGACTATATCTTTAAGGACCAGCAGTTGGTGTAATGGCTATGTTGCTGGATTCCCATGTAGTCAACCACGGTTCGAGTCCTGACCCAGTGGCTTAAACTCACACCAGATATGTGTGCATGTGTGCCCAAGATCCAGAGAGGAGAATGGAGGTGAAGGGATTGCGCATGGCCATCCCCCCAGGGAGTGATTTCTCACTTTCTGTCTCTCTGTCTCTTTCTGTTTTTTTGACAAGCGCACACACCCTATAGCAAAGACCTCTCCAAAAAATAAATAAGTAAAATTTTAAAAATCATACACAAGAAAGTTCTGACTTTGACCTGTGGAGAGAATGGGAGAGAATGTCAGAAAATTGAAGGTCTAAAGTGAAAGATAGAGGTTCTAAAAATAAATTTTTTGTTATTTTATAAATGTTTTTTATGATGTATATAGTATTTTTATATGTACCAGTTGTAAAGGTTAATGAACTAAGAAAATGAATCACTTCTTCTATTGATGAAAAAGTAAATAAAAAACAGGTCTTTAAGATAATATTCTTTCTATTAAGACAATTAATCACTTGATCAAGCTCTGCTTTTTTATGTATCTTAAAAAAATTTCTCAGTTCTTACCATATGCTAGGCCCAATGCCATGTGCTTAAAGAAAAAAAAAATAGCACCTACTCTCAAGGAGTACACAGTTCAATGGGAAGAGTTCACACTCAGTCTTTTTTTTTTTAAACATATATTTTTTATTTTTTTGACACTTAAACATATTTATGAGGTATACTGTGATTTTTTTAATAGATGAATACAAAGTGTAATGATCAAATCAGTGTACTTAGCATATTGATCATTTCTAATATTTAGCAAGTTATTTTGTGTTGGGAACATTCAAAATCCTACTAGGTACTCTAAAATACAAACTAAATTATTGTTATCCTATAGTTACACTATTGTCCCATAGAACAATAGAAGTTGTTCCTTTTATCTATTGTAATTTTATATCTCATAATGAGCATTTCTTTTCTACCTGTCCCAATCTCTAGTAGTCACTATTTTTCTTTCTACTTTGATGAGACCAACTTTTTTGGTTTCCACATATGAATAAAAACACATGCTTTTTTTTCTGTGCCTGGGTTATTTCACATAACATAGTTCCTTCTGGTTGGTCTATATTGCCTCAAATGACAGGATTTTGTTCTTTTTAGTGACTGAATAGTGTTCCATTGTGTATGAATGTGTATCACATTTTCTTTATCCATTTATCTATTAAAGGACAGTTAGGTGAGTTCTACACGTGGGCCATTGTGACTAGACATTCTGTTGTGAAATGATATACCATTATGGTTTTGATTTGTATTTCCCTGATATTAGAGATACTGAACATCTTTTTATATGCATGTTGGTCATTCATATTTCTTGTTTTGAGGTACTTCTAACCATGTCATTTTCCCATTTTTAAAAAAGGATTTTTTAAGTTTCTTATATATTCTGGTTATTAATACCTCGTTGCATGTTTAGATGTAAATAGTTTCCTTCATTCTGTAGGTGTTCTCTTTATTCTGTTTATTGTTTTCTTTGCTACATAGAAGCTTCAAATTGAAACGATTTTCCCATGTTTTCCTTTTTTAAAGTTCTAATAGTTTCAAGCCCAGAAGATAGTGTAGTGGCTATGTCTCTGCACTCCCATGTCGTTGACAGTTGCTGCCCTTCCTATCTCCCTTCCTTGTACTAAACTTCCAGGGATGACCCCAAAAAACTTTATTATAACAAGAGTTATTAGCCATCTTGGGTTCTATCTGCTGAATTTTGCAGAATAATTTGAATTCTCAAAAGCGTTATTCTTTTCCTCATGTTCACTCCACTAGCTGTGATGCTCTTTCTTAAAATGTTCTTCAACTCTAGTTCTCCTTCTTTGACTAACTCCTACCTAACATCAAATATTAAATCAAATGGTTCTCCAGGGAACCATTACACAAAATTAGACTGAAAACCTTTCCTCTACATTCCCTTAGCTCTTCCCATCTTATATTTAGCTATTTATTTGTTAATTTCTTATATTAAAGCATAGATTTACCTAAATTTTTATCCCTGATCCCTGATACACAGTATACATGTAATAATTTGTTGAACTAAGCTGTAGGATGTCCTTGTTTCACCCAAGGCTCCCCAGCTTTCAGTACTGACATGAACTTTATTACTATTTTCTCTGCATTCCTCATTCCCACTACACCACTTCCACAGGTCAAAGACCTCATACTCACTTGTCCAGTGATATCCCAGGGAAGGCAAACTTGCCCAGACAGATGCGGTAGATAGCACTCAGGGGAATCCGCTGTAACTGCACACAGCTGAGCATGATGAAGTCATATTTGCAAATAAAGAGTGTCTTGTCTGTGACCAACAAAATCTTCTCCTTCTCATTGTTCCAGTGGTCTATCCTGTAAGAGTCAGCACAGAGAAAGTAAGTTGATGGCAAAGCCTTTCCAGGTTAAAAATAGTGGAATTCACTGAAACATCCCACCTAGAAGATAGTGAGGTTTGGTTACCTCAGGAAAAACAAAAAAAAAGGAACCAAGGATACTTAATGTCACCCCATCTCTCTCAGTCTGACTCCCAAATGAAGGGAGGAGGGAGGTGAAATATGGCAGGGAAATGTTTAATCATAACAGACTAGAGAGATAATTATGTATGAAAGAACCCATCAAAGAATTACTAAGTTTGTATTGTGCTGAAAGTCAACTAATTTATACTTTCCCACATCTTCTCACTTCTCTAGGAGACTTTCATGTAAAATATCTTCCTCTATGGATATAAAATATCTTTGTTCTAACTCTATCTGTACAAAATTTACTAACTACAAACTAGCTTAATGTTAATTTCCAAAGGTTATATCACTGACCTTTGATAAACAGACTTGAATGTAGGTCCACTTTCTCTCAAATCATTACTATTGGGTACTCTTTCTATCACATTCTTGCAGTAGAAATATAGTGAAACAAGTGAAGTGGGATTCTGATAAACCAAGGTAGACATTAGGAAACTGCAGCATTGATTCATTCTGGACTCGAGGCCCTCTGCACTCTATGACTGAAACTAACTGACTAAAGGATATAGACACACAGTAAATGGATATAAATACCAGATATAGTGTGTGTGAAAGAGTAGGGTCTGAGGAAGGACATTTAGAAGAAAAATAGGGAGGCAAAGCATTAATGGGACAAAGAAACGTGGTATTACCTATTGAAGATATTTTATAGTTTTATCAACTGGACTAGGGAGAAATGTTCACATGTTGGAATATTCACTTTGTAAGCTAAATAATGCGATTGAATGTATAAAATAAAGTGAAATACATGTTTAAAAAAAGGTAATTCTGACCAAGAGATAACTCAAAATGGACTGAAGGTCTAAATGTAAAACCTCCAATATAAAGCTACTGATGAAACACACAGGGGAAACTCTTGAAGACACTGGCATAGGCAAATATTTCTTAAATAAGACTCCTAAAGCACAGTCAATATTCTCAAAATAGACACATGAGACTACATTAGGCGAAAAAGCTTCTTCACTGCAAAGGAAACAATAATTATAGGAAAGGGACAACGCTCAGAATGGGAGGAAATATTTGCCAACTGCACTTCAGATAAAGGACTGGTAACAAGACTATATAGGAAACTCAAGCACCTTACCCGCAAAAATAAACAAACACTCCAACTTCAAAATGAACACATAAGCTGAACATACAGCTCTCCAAGAGACACATGAATGTACAAAAGGAACATGAATAAAATGTCCAAGATATCTTATAGGGGAAATGCAAATTAAAACGATAATGATATACCTCTTAATCCCAGTAAGAATAACTATGACTTAATAAATAAAGAATGGCAAGTGCTGGTGAAGCTGCAGTGAAAAGGGAACCCTCTTATGCTGCTGGTGGAAATGTTAATTAGTACAGTCACTGTGGAAAATAATATGGAGATTCCTCAAAACCAACAAATGGAACTACCATATGACCCAATTATACCACTCCTAGGCATTTACACAAAGAATAAGAAAATAGTCAGAAAGACACTTGCACTATTCACAATTGCTAAGATATGGAATCAACCTAAATATCCAAGAATGGCTGACTGGATTGAAAAAAAGAAATGTGACATGTTTACACTATGGAATACTACTCTGCCATAAAAAACAATGAGACCCTGGCATTTGATACAAAGTCGATTAATATAGAAGATTTACTAATAATACAATCGAGCCAGACTAAGAAAGACAGACATATGTCCCTGCCCTACTTAATACCTGCACTTCATGACAGAAACTAAAAGATTGGCATATATACTAGCGACAGCAAGTGTAGATATCAGAGACTACATAGAAGGGGTGGATAGTAGGGGACAGCGTGGGGGGGAGGGGCAGAAAAAAAACTGTCAACAGATCCAAGAACGGAAACTTATCTGTTGGGATGATGCAATAGCTTTGACTTGATTGACATACTCTGCATGCATGTATTGAAAAATCGTATTGTAGGGACCAGCAGTTAGCATAATGGCTATGTTGCTGAACTCCCATGAAGTCAACAGCAGTTCGAGTCCCAGACCCAGTGGCTTAAACTCATGCCGGGCATATGTGCATGCGTGTCCAAGATTCCGAGAGGAGAATGGAAGAGAAGGCATTGTGGCGTGGCAATCCCCGCTGGGGGGTGATATCTCACTTTCTGTTTCTCTGTCTCTCTCTGACTTTCTGGCGAGCACAGGCGCCCTATAGCAAAAACCTCTCCAAAAAAAAGAAAAAAAGGATCGTATTGTACCCTGTAAAGATGTACAGTGATTAAATGTAAATTAAATAATTAATTAATTTTTAAATGAAAGAAAAACATTCCTTCATTATAGGACATAGGAAGGAATCAAATCACTTAACAGAAAGCGAGTATGATCTGTAATTCTTCTGATCCACAGCACATTACAGTCTGTCTGATCTAACCTTGAAGATACAACACTCATGTCTTATACTAGATTGTTTTAGTACATATGTTTTGTCTTCTATAAAACACTGAAAATGTTTGCTTGTGCTGAATTCCTGCCTGCGTTCTCAGTACATAAAATTAATCTGATATGTAGAGGTATTAGCATTCTGTTCCCAATCATTCTCCACCAGGGAAAACAATGTAATACTTAAAATATAAACTGAATAATGTCACTCCCTTATTTTCTTTATTAAATATCAGCTCCTTGATCTTAAGATCAAATCCAGGAACCCTAACATGGACAGACTACAGATCACTCTCTGTGGTCTGACCTCTGCCCAAAGTCTCCTCCTAGTTGTCTGAGACCACTCGTTGTTTAAGTTTGTGGTTCAAATAATTCCCTCACAGAGAATATCTTAAACTCTTACATACTGTGGAGCCTTACACGCTTTCAAACACCTTGGTCCTTTCTCTTTTGTGGCATTTATCATAATTTATAAGAAGAAATAATACATAAAGTATTTAGCAATGCATACCATAAGGGCACTGACCAATCAGAATGGACACTGCGGTACACAGAGTAGAAAAAAGCCAGTAAAGACAGAGTGAGTGTCAGTCCTATGTGTAAGAGTATGTGTGTCTGTGTGTGTGCATGATTTATGAGGGCAGAGACTATGTCTACTGGGCTATTCTATCCAATAAAAGCCAATTAGAATTGTTGTAGAAGCCCTCGGGTTATATGAGGGTAGGACTAGAAACTTCCAGCCTGTTCCTTAATAACTATGTCAGATTGAATTTTCAACCTTTGTATAGCTTAGATTTCTTCTCTGTGAAATGAAGGCAACATTAGTACTTATCTAATAAGTTTGGGGAGAGGATTAAGGGAGATGATTCTTGGGCAAAACCCTATAAATTAGCTGTTAATATTACTGGTAGGGACCTAGGTCACTAAGCAGCTTTGGGTACCTCAATTTTATTGCCACTCTTCAGCCTAACCTAAAGTCAGACAGACAAGACGAAGTTAGGAGTCAAATCTCTGGAAGGAGTAGCGCGAGGAGATATGAAGAGAGAAAAGGGGAGATGAAGGAGAAAGGAGACAGAAGCAGAAGAAATGGGAAAAGAAAGAAGGCAGCCTGGCCGGAGGCTCTAGGTTATGTCAGCCATTGTGTACTCATGAGAATCAGCTTTTCTTGACAATCTTCAACCTTTAAATGTTATATTCTCATACTCTGGTCACTCAGCTAGAGAATGAGAGGAAAATTATTTTTATAGTGGAAAAAACAGCCTAGAGTCCAAGAAGTCTAGTTTAAATCTTGGTTCTATAGTTCTATCCACATCAACACACAGTGACACTCAATTTCTACTCCCCTATGTAAATAAGAGAAAAATAAGAGAATTCCTGAGAAGTCTCCCTTACGCTCTCTGACTAGGTCAGAAAGAGAGACTGAAATGTCTTATCAGATATCTACATAAACGTCTCTAAATAGATTGCATCTACTTAGCAGTAAGTTATAAGCTACTGCCTAATAAACCAGATTTCTTTTCAGTCTAAAAAAAACCTTGCAGCTTTTGGTTGAATAGTTTTACTGAAAATGTCAGCACTCCATAATGAGATTTATTTTAAAAGGTAAAAGATTTGGGAAAAAGGAGAATTCTTTTTAGGAACACGGAGTGCTCTTCGGTGACACAGACCTTGCATAATCTGCATGCCAAGTTCCAAATAAACACACAGGTTTATAAATAGTTTGGGGTCATCATCCTTAGCTCATGGGTGGTATATTTACTTATTTGGACTTCAATCATGCTTTATTTTTCTCAAAGAATGCATGGGAAAAGGTTGTTTGTTTTTGTTTTTAGAGGTTTTTGCTATACGGCACGTGCGCTCGCCGGAAAGACGGAGACAGAGAGACAGAAAGCGAGAAATCACCCCCCAGGGGGGATGGCCACACCGCAATCCCTTCTCCTCCACTCTCCTCTCGGGATCTTGGGCACGCACGCACATGTGCCCACGTGAATTTAAGCCACCGGATCTGGGACTCGAACCGTGGTTGACCACATGGGAGTCCTGTGACATAGCCATTATGCTAACTGCTGGTCCCGGGAAATGTTAAATACATATTTTAATATTAATATCATTGACATTGGGGTGACAATGTTAACCACAAATATTAGAAACAATAATATATTGTGTTTCTGCAATTTCGAAAAGTTTACAAAATCCTTGGACATAAATACCCTCTTTTTTTTCATTTTTTTTTTTGAGAGGTTTTTGCTATACGGCGCATGTGCTCACCAGACAGACAGAGAGAGACAGAGAGACAGAAAGCAAGAAAGCATTCCCCGGGGGGATGGCCACGCCGCAATCCCTTCTCCTCCATTCTCCTCTTGGGATCTTGGGCACACACGCACACATGCCCAGCGTGAGTTTTAAGCCACCGGGTCTGGGACGTGAACCACCGTCGACTATGT